TTTCCGTCGCCGCGCGCCCCGCCCCCTGTTCCCCTCCCCAAGCCTTCCCGGCGGAGGGGCACGGTGGGCTGCGCGTTAGGCGTCCCTGTGAGAGCCGCGCCGCTATTGGGTCCGGGCCACGGCGGAAATGAGAGCGTAGCGGCGATTGGTCCGACCTTCCCTGCAATGCGTCAAACTGGGAAGAGCCACTGCGTGGTGGCGGGGGGGGGGTGGAACCTGCAATGTGTGGCCGCGTGGAGCGGGTGAGGCGGAAAGAGGTGAAGGGTGAAGCTGCGTGGCTGCTAGGGAGGCAAATACATCGTCTTTGTGGCTAGAGTGGTAAACGACCGGTGGAAGGTGCTGGGACCTTCTCGGATCCCCCCTCTAGCAGGTGGGAGATGGTGCAACCCAAAATGCTGTGGCCTTAAACCCCGCCCCCAACTGGGCCCGGAGAGGTGCAGGGGGCTTCGAGGTTTTGTCTTCCCCTCCCCGTCCCACTCCGCGGGCAGGTGTCTGCGCCCCGAGATGCCCTCCACGGGCGTGGGGACCCCTTTCCCCGCTTCGCTCCTGATCTACGAAACTGGGGCCGTCCCAGAACAGCCTTTAGGAACAGGGGATTAATTCAGCCGATCATGCAATAAGCATGAATTGGGCGCCTGCTGTATGCAGGGGCTTGCGCTTAGCTGGGCTTTGGAGACCACACTTTCCAACCACTTTCCTGTCATAGACCAACCTGAATCTCTCATTCCTTCCTCCAAGTTTCCAGCAATAAGAGGAAAAATAACTAATGATAAGGTTAGCCAAGATCATTCGTTTATTGGAGCTCAGAAACGCCCCTTATTTAGAACAGGAGCTGCTATTCGCTTACGTGCCCCTCCTCTCCTCGCCGTGATTGGCTGAGGGGTGGGCTAGTGAGTCAGGCGGGGCCAATCATATGTCCCACTCGGAGTCCGTGAGAGCCTTTCCCTCAGTGTTTGCATCTGGATTTTGGGCGCACGAGTCCTTTTGCTTGTGGCTGGTGGCCAGGCTGCGGAGGGACCAGTCCAGAGCTCTCTGTGGCCACGGCCCCACCCCGGAGGGGGGCATGAAGCGGACCCGGGGAGAAGCAAAGAAGGAATGGCGTGCCCTGGCCGGTTTGGCTCAGTGGATAGAGCGTCGGCCTGCGGACTGAAAGGTCCCAGGTTCGATTCCGGTCAAGGGCATGTACCTTGGTTGCGGGCACATCCCCAGTGGGGGGCGTGCAGGAGGCAGCTGATCGATGTTTCTCTCTCATCGATATTTCTAACTCTCTATCCCTCTCCCTTCCTCTGTAAAAAAATCAATAAAAAATATTTTTAAAAAAGTTGCATGGGACACTCTTACCCTGAAAGACATATTTTTGCTGTTCATCAGAAATTCAAATTTAACTGAAGTCCTGTATTTCAATCTGCTCAATCCGGTGACGCTAGTCCCAAAGACCCTTCTTTTCCGAGTCGGAAGATGCTCTTAGTGACCTTACAGGGGACTCCCTGGGCCTCTGGTTGTCCCAGGCTGCAGCCCAGCAAAAGTCTTGGTAGTGACTTCAGATCTTCTGAGCTTTAGGAATGACCCATAAACGCATGCTCAACCCCATGATCATCAGGGAAGTTCCAGTTAAAACGACAACATACCATTTCATATCTACCAGCTGGACAGACACCATTGCCAACACTCCGACCTGTTGAGACCCCACCGTCTGGCGAGGGCGCTACTCCTCTAACCTGACCTCCTAACGCTCTCCCCCCTGCTCTCTCTGTTCCGGCCACACCGGCCTCTTTGCTGCTCCTTGGCCGCTGTGGCTGGTTCCTGCCTCGGGCCTTTGTCTTGCCTCCTCTTCTTGGATCCTCTCTCCATAACAGCCACCTGGCCTTTCCCTCCTTCGCCTCAAGCCTTTGTTCAAACGGCGTCTTCTTTTGAATTTCTTGTGAGTGTTGTTCTTAGTATCCCATTTTCCTCCGTATTTAAAAATAAGCTTCGTATTTGAGAATAGCTTTAGATTTCAGAACAGTTGCAAACATAGAACAGAAGTTTCCACATACCCCACACCCGGCTTCCTCTGTTCTTGACTTTTTACATGAATACGGTACATTTGTTACCACCAGTGAACCGCGATTGAGACATTATTGTTAACCGACACCCATTTTTTAGTTTTTGTCCGACGTCCTTTTTCTGTTCCAGGGTTACATCCGGATGTCACCTGACACTTCGTCACCACGTCACCTTGGTGGCCCGTGGACTCTGACCGTCTCTCAGGCTTTCTTGTTCTGACGACCTTGGCGGTTCCGAGGAGAGCTGGTCAAGTGCTTTGTAGAGCAAGCGTGTCAAACTCTCCGCCCACAACGAATACTTTTGCGGCCCAGCCAACAAAACGGTAAGGAACGTTTTAATAAAAATTTTGTAACTTCATTTTTACAATATCCTGTTATACATAATTATTAATAGCGAAGGACAACGTTTGCTAATGACTGATGACTCCAATCGCGTTGCATTCGTTTCCCTTATGTGCCTTGTGCGCAGGCGCACCATTTCTCTCACTAATACCAGCAGCGAATATTGTAGCAGCCGATGGCCACGTCATTTGTCTTGGGCTGACTTGTTCGGTGTGCGCAGCAGGAAATATTTCGCTTTCGGAGAACAAGAGAAATAGGTTTATTTGCATGACACTTATTAATTTGTGCAGTGATTCAGTGTCTGGTAAGTTCATGTTCAAGAAAAAATATTAATTTTTATTACAACATTCTATTATTTTATGTTAACGATGACTCATTTGTTTCAGCCCTTTGTCTTCAGCATGTCTCTATCGAAATAAACCTACGTTTCCATGAAGATTGAAGCTTTTGTTTTTTTGCGGCCCCACAGACACTTACACCTGGTTTATTTGGCCCGTGTTAGCCTTTGAGTTTGACACGCGTGTTGTAGAATGTCTCCCATGTGGTGTCTGTCTGATGTTTTTCTCCTGATTAGACTGGGATTATAGTTTTCAGGGGAAGACAGAGATAAAGTGTCGTTCTCATAGGGATATGAAGGGTACATCCCATCAACGTGACTTATCCCCATACTGTTCGCCTTGATCATTGTATTTATCAGACTTCTTCAGTGTAAGGTTACTCCACCCCCCACTGTACCACTCCCCCCACTGTACTACTCCCCCCACTGTACTACTCCTCTCACTATACTACTCCCCCCACAGTACTACTCCTCTCACTGTACTACTCCCCCCACAGTACTACTCCCCTCACTGTACTACTCCTCTCACTGTACTACTCCCCCCACAGTACTACTCCCCTCACTGTACTACTCCTCTCACTGTACTACTCCCCCCACAGTACTACTCCCCTCACTGTACTACTCCTCTCACTGTACTACTCCCCCCACAGTACTACTCCCCTCACTGTACTACTCCTCTCACTGTACTACTCCCCCCACAGTACTACTCCCCTCACTGTACTACTCCTCTCACTGTACTACTCCCCCCACAGTACTACTCCCCTCACTGTACTACTCCTCTCACTGTACTACTCCCCCCACAGTACTACTCCCCTCACTGTACTACTCCTCTCACTGTACTACTCCCCCCACAGTACTACTCCCCTCACTGTACTACTCCTCTCACTGTACTACTCCCCCCACAGTACTACTCCCCTCACTGTACTACTCCTCTCACTGTACTACTCCCCCCACAGTACTACTCCCCTCACTGTACTACTCCTCTCACTGTACTACTCCCCCCACAGTACTACTCCCCTCACTGTACTACTCCTCTCACTGTACTACTCCCCCCACAGTACTACTCCCCTCACTGTACTACTCCTCTCACTGTACTACTCCCCCCACAGTACTACTCCCCTCACTGTACTACTCCTCTCACTGTACTACTCCCCCCACAGTACTACTCCCCTCACTGTACTACTCCTCTCACTGTACTACTCCCCCCACAGTACTACTCCCCTCACTGTACTACTCCTCTCACTGTACTACTCCCCCCACAGTACTACTCCCCTCACTGTACTACTCCTCTCACTGTACTACTCCCCCCACAGTACTACTCCCCTCACTGTACTACTCCTCTCACTGTACTACTCCCCCCACAGTACTACTCCCCTCACTGTACTACTCCTCTCACTGTACTACTCCCCCCACAGTACTACTCCCCTCACTGTACTACTCCTCTCACTGTACTACTCCCCCCACAGTACTACTCCCCTCACTGTACTACTCCTCTCACTGTACTACTCCCCCCACAGTACTACTCCCCTCACTGTACTACTCCTCTCACTGTACTACTCCCCCCACAGTACTACTCCCCTCACTGTACTACTCCTCTCACTGTACTACTCCCCCCACAGTACTACTCCCCTCACTGTACTACTCCTCTCACTGTACTACTCCCCCCACAGTACTACTCCCCTCACTGTACTACTCCTCTCACTGTACTACTCCCCCCACAGTACTACTCCCCTCACTGTACTACTCCTCTCACTGTACTACTCCCCCCACAGTACTACTCCCCTCACTGTACTACTCCTCTCACTGTACTACTCCCCCCACAGTACTACTCCCCTCACTGTACTACTCCTCTCACTGTACTACTCCCCCCACAGTACTACTCCCCTCACTGTACTACTCCTCTCACTGTACTACTCCCCCCACAGTACTACTCCCCTCACTGTACTACTCCTCTCACTGTACTACTCCCCCCACAGTACTACTCCCCTCACTGTACTACTCCTCTCACTGTACTACTCCCCCCACAGTACTACTCCCCTCACTGTACTACTCCTCTCACTGTACTACTCCCCCCACAGTACTACTCCCCTCACTGTACTACTCCTCTCACTGTACTACTCCCCCCACAGTACTACTCCCCTCACTGTACTACTCCTCTCACTGTACTACTCCCCCCACAGTACTACTCCCCTCACTGTACTACTCCTCTCACTGTACTACTCCCCCCACAGTACTACTCCCCTCACTGTACTACTCCTCTCACTGTACTACTCCCCCCACAGTACTACTCCCCTCACTGTACTACTCCTCTCACTGTACTACTCCCCCCACAGTACTACTCCCCTCACTGTACTACTCCTCTCACTGTACTACTCCCCCCACAGTACTACTCCCCTCACTGTACTACTCCTCTCACTGTACTACTCCCCCCACAGTACTACTCCCCTCACTGTACTACTCCTCTCACTGTACTACTCCCCCCACAGTACTACTCCCCTCACTGTACTACTCCTCTCACTGTACTACTCCCCCCACAGTACTACTCCCCTCACTGTACTACTCCTCTCACTGTACTACTCCCCCCACAGTACTACTCCCCTCACTGTACTACTCCTCTCACTGTACTACTCCCCCCACAGTACTACTCCCCTCACTGTACTACTCCTCTCACTGTACTACTCCCCCCACAGTACTACTCCCCTCACTGTACTACTCCTCTCACTGTACTACTCCCCCCACAGTACTACTCCCCTCACTGTACTACTCCTCTCACTGTACTACTCCCCCCACAGTACTACTCCCCTCACTGTACTACTCCTCTCACTGTACTACTCCCCCCACAGTACTACTCCCCTCACTGTACTACTCCTCTCACTGTACTACTCCCCCCACAGTACTACTCCCCTCACTGTACTACTCCTCTCACTGTACTACTCCCCCCACAGTACTACTCCCCTCACTGTACTACTCCTCTCACTGTACTACTCCCCCCACAGTACTACTCCCCTCACTGTACTACTCCTCTCACTGTACTACTCCCCCCACAGTACTACTCCCCTCACTGTACTACTCCTCTCACTGTACTACTCCCCCCACAGTACTACTCCCCTCACTGTACTACTCCTCTCACTGTACTACTCCCCCCACAGTACTACTCCCCTCACTGTACTACTCCTCTCACTGTACTACTCCCCCCACAGTACTACTCCCCTCACTGTACTACTCCTCTCACTGTACTACTCCCCCCACAGTACTACTCCCCTCACTGTACTACTCCTCTCACTGTACTACTCCCCCCACAGTACTACTCCCCTCACTGTACTACTCCTCTCACTGTACTACTCCCCCCACAGTACTACTCCCCTCACTGTACTACTCCTCTCACTGTACTACTCCCCCCACAGTACTACTCCCCTCACTGTACTACTCCTCTCACTGTACTACTCCCCCCACAGTACTACTCCCCTCACTGTACTACTCCTCTCACTGTACTACTCCCCCCACAGTACTACTCCCCTCACTGTACTACTCCTCTCACTGTACTACTCCCCCCACAGTACTACTCCCCTCACTGTACTACTCCTCTCACTGTACTACTCCCCCCACAGTACTACTCCCCTCACTGTACTACTCCTCTCACTGTACTACTCCCCCCACAGTACTACTCCCCTCACTGTACTACTCCTCTCACTGTACTACTCCCCCCACAGTACTACTCCCCTCACTGTACTACTCCTCTCACTGTACTACTCCCCCCACAGTACTACTCCCCTCACTGTACTACTCCTCTCACTGTACTACTCCCCCCACAGTACTACTCCCCTCACTGTACTACTCCTCTCACTGTACTACTCCCCCCACAGTACTACTCCCCTCACTGTACTACTCCTCTCACTGTACTACTCCCCCCACAGTACTACTCCCCTCACTGTACTACTCCTCTCACTGTACTACTCCCCCCACAGTACTACTCCCCTCACTGTACTACTCCTCTCACTGTACTACTCCCCCCACAGTACTACTCCCCTCACTGTACTACTCCTCTCACTGTACTACTCCCCCCACAGTACTACTCCCCTCACTGTACTACTCCTCTCACTGTACTACTCCCCCCACAGTACTACTCCCCTCACTGTACTACTCCTCTCACTGTACTACTCCCCCCACAGTACTACTCCCCTCACTGTACTACTCCTCTCACTGTACTACTCCCCCCACAGTACTACTCCCCTCACTGTACTACTCCTCTCACTGTACTACTCCCCCCACAGTACTACTCCCCTCACTGTACTACTCCTCTCACTGTACTACTCCCCCCACAGTACTACTCCCCTCACTGTACTACTCCTCTCACTGTACTACTCCCCCCACAGTACTACTCCCCTCACTGTACTACTCCTCTCACTGTACTACTCCCCCCACAGTACTACTCCCCTCACTGTACTACTCCTCTCACTGTACTACTCCCCCCACAGTACTACTCCCCTCACTGTACTACTCCTCTCACTGTACTACTCCCCCCACAGTACTACTCCCCTCACTGTACTACTCCTCTCACTGTACTACTCCCCCCACAGTACTACTCCCCTCACTGTACTACTCCTCTCACTGTACTACTCCCCCCACAGTACTACTCCCCTCACTGTACTACTCCTCTCACTGTACTACTCCCCCCACAGTACTACTCCCCTCACTGTACTACTCCTCTCACTGTACTACTCCCCCCACAGTACTACTCCCCTCACTGTACTACTCCTCTCACTGTACTACTCCCCCCACAGTACTACTCCCCTCACTGTACTACTCCTCTCACTGTACTACTCCCCCCACAGTACTACTCCCCTCACTGTACTACTCCTCTCACTGTACTACTCCCCCCACAGTACTACTCCCCTCACTGTACTACTCCTCTCACTGTACTACTCCCCCCACAGTACTACTCCCCTCACTGTACTACTCCTCTCACTGTACTACTCCCCCCACAGTACTACTCCCCTCACTGTACTACTCCTCTCACTGTACTACTCCCCCCACAGTACTACTCCCCTCACTGTACTACTCCTCTCACTGTACTACTCCCCCCACAGTACTACTCCCCTCACTGTACTACTCCTCTCACTGTACTACTCCCCCCACAGTACTACTCCCCTCACTGTACTACTCCTCTCACTGTACTACTCCCCCCACAGTACTACTCCCCTCACTGTACTACTCCTCTCACTGTACTACTCCCCCCACAGTACTACTCCCCTCACTGTACTACTCCTCTCACTGTACTACTCCCCCCACAGTACTACTCCCCTCACTGTACTACTCCTCTCACTGTACTACTCCCCCCACAGTACTACTCCCCTCACTGTACTACTCCTCTCACTGTACTACTCCCCCCACAGTACTACTCCCCTCACTGTACTACTCCTCTCACTGTACTACTCCCCCCACAGTACTACTCCCCTCACTGTACTACTCCTCTCACTGTACTACTCCCCCCACAGTACTACTCCCCTCACTGTACTACTCCTCTCACTGTACTACTCCCCCCACAGTACTACTCCCCTCACTGTACTACTCCTCTCACTGTACTACTCCCCCCACAGTACTACTCCCCTCACTGTACTACTCCTCTCACTGTACTACTCCCCCCACAGTACTACTCCCCTCACTGTACTACTCCTCTCACTGTACTACTCCCCCCACAGTACTACTCCCCTCACTGTACTACTCCTCTCACTGTACTACTCCCCCCACAGTACTACTCCCCTCACTGTACTACTCCTCTCACTGTACTACTCCCCCCACAGTACTACTCCCCTCACTGTACTACTCCTCTCACTGTACTACTCCCCCCACAGTACTACTCCCCTCACTGTACTACTCCTCTCACTGTACTACTCCCCCCACAGTACTACTCCCCTCACTGTACTACTCCTCTCACTGTACTACTCCCCCCACAGTACTACTCCCCTCACTGTACTACTCCTCTCACTGTACTACTCCCCCCACAGTACTACTCCTCTCACTGTACTACTCCCCCCACAGTACTACTCCCCTCACTGTACTACTCCCCCCACTGTACCACTCCCCCCACTGTACTACTCTGTACAGTCCATGCTTTAAAGTGGAGCATTGGGCTTCCTCTCCTTGAGAGAGTGCTGTCTGCATCAATTATTTGGAAATTCTCAGCACAGGAAATCTGTCTGTTCTCCCCATTTGTTTACTTATTCAATCACTCCAATTTTTTTTAATCAGCTTTGGATGTTTATTTTACGCTATGGGTTATAATCCAGGGCACAGTGTTTATTTTGTTGCTCAAATTGTTCTGGCTTTGACCGTGGGATACTCTTTCGGTTGGCTCCTGTATCATTGGACACACCCTCATCCTGTGTGTGTGTGTGTGTGTGTGTGTGTGTGTGTGTGTGTGTGGTTTAGCGCTTTCTTATTTTTCCAGTACTATAAGACGTTCCAGACACATCTTGTGTATTTCCTGCTCCGTTCCTAGAATCAGTCATTTCTCCAAGGAGCCCTGGCTCCATTTGTTGGGGAAGGATGTTAGAAATGAAACACTGGACCCAGCTGGTTTGGCTCAGTGGATAGAGCGTCGGCCTGCGGACTGAGGGGTCCCAGGTTTGATTCCTGTCAAGGTTCTCAGGTCCACTTTACTATTTCTCAGATTCTATTTTCTTCTAATATAATTTTGAGGTTTCTCAACCAGTGTTGGATGTCAGGATTTGGAGTTTGTTGCCATGGAAACTGTTTCAGCTACTTGCCCACAGGAGGGAGCCCTCTACCTGTTAAAAGGTAGGCTGGCAGCAGCAATATTTTTGTTTAGGAAGAAGACAGTGGAGAAGGGGTCAGTTAATAATAGAGACACACTTGGTTTATTTTCACATAGGGGGCATCTCCTACTGGTGACAGTGTGGCGTCTGGCACATTCTCTAGACCAGTGGTTCCCAAACTTATTTGGCCTACCGCCCCTTTCCAGAAAAAATATTACTCAGCGCCCCCTGGAAATTAATTTTTTTTAAATTTTAATAGCAATTAAACAGAAAGATATATGTATTAATGTTTCTACCTTTTTCGTAAAATATAGTAAAGAAAGGTGTAAATTAGAAACATTGAAGTTTGAAATTATGAAACTATTTATTGAACTCAGAATAGAAAGGTAATACAAAAAAAGTTAAAACAAATGCACCTGTGGCCATCACCGCCCCCCTGGATCGCTGCAGCGCCCACCAGGGGGCGCTAGCGCCCACTTTGGGAATCACTGATTTAGAGAGAGGGAGGGAGAGAGAGAGAGAGAGAGAGAGAGAAACAATGGTGTGAGAGAGAAACATTGATTGGTTGCCTCCACCCGGAGACTGACCCCGCCACCTTGGTGTATAGGACGATGAGCCAACCAGCTGAGCCACCCGGCCAGGCTGAGTTGTTGCTTTTCAAGATCTCATTCTTCGTGCTGTCGTGATGCCGCCTTTCTTAAAGGTGCTCTGTTTCTGTCTCCAGGATTTTCTTCCGAGCCGTCGTCACCCGCTGCGCACGTCTTGAAGTACTTGGCCAGCCAATGGCACGTCCGGGTTGCCCAGCAGTGGTCGAAGAGGAAGTCTGCGTTCAGACACGCTGCAAGGAGGAGCTGAGAACAGTCTGACTATGCATTACTTCCCATCCGGTGGTCAGTGCACTCCCACAGTGGGAGCACTGCTCAGCCAGAAGCCTTGAGCCAGGCTCATGGCTGGCGAGCACAGCAGCGGTGGCGGGAGCCTCTCCTGCCTCCATGGCAGTGCTAAAGATGTCCAACTGATGGCTTAGGCCCGCTTCCCAGGGAGCGGGCCTAAGCCATCAGTTGGACATCCCCCGAAGGCTCCTGGACTGCAAGAGGGCACAGGCCGGGCTGAGGGACCCCCCCTGAGTGCACGAATTTCGTGCACCAGGCCTCTAGTGTTTATATATAATTCTTTTCTGAACCTCTTGTCAATCAGCCACAGACCACATGCCACTTCACCTCTAGACTTCGATGTGAATTTTCTAGAACAAAGGCGCTCACCTAGGAAACCACAGGACAATGATCACCATCAGGACATTTCGTGCTGATACAATTATTTAATCTATGGACGTCGTCAAAGTTTGCCCATTGTCCCAATCATGTCCTTTACGGCGAACAACAGCAAAAGAGTTTTATGTTTGCCCCGGCCGGTTTGGCTCACTGGATAGAACGTCGGCCTGGGGACTGAAGGGTCCCAGGTTCGATTCCGGTCAAGGGCATGTACCTTGGTTGCGCAAAACAAAACAAAAAAGATGCTAAAAGTAAATCATAAAGTCTGCTGTTCCTCCTGCAAAGCTGACTCACACACCTGGAATACTGTGACTAATTCTGACAGCTGTATCGCAAAGAAAACATAGCTGAGCTGGAGGAGGTCCAGGGAAGCCAACCAAAATGCTGAAATGAACGGAGGCTTCTCTCAGACAGGAGACACTGAAAAAGGACAGAGGGTTAGAGTGATTGAAGCCTTTGAAATCATGAAAGGCGTAGACAGCATTTAGCATTATTAACCAAAAATATGAATTCTCAAACCATCTTGAACTTGTGGAACTCATGAGTGGCACAATTTTAAATATAAGTAGGTTCAGGAAGGATTTCTGGTGGAAAAGTCACATGGAGGGTGGGACTCTGAGATGCATCTCTCTAACTCAGGGTGGCTGTCATGAAGGACAACCATGCCTGCTCTTAATAAAGTGCCCCCCTGGCCGGTGTGGCCCAGTTGTTTGGAGCATCATCCCATACGCCTAGGTTGTGGGTGCTGTTCCCCGTCAGGCTACATACCAAGGTTGCAGGTTATATCAATCCCCAGGCAGGGCAGGTACAGAAGACAACCAATCAATGTTTTCTCTCACATAGATGTTTCTCTCTCTCTCTCTCTCTCTCTCTTCCTTTCCCTCTCTCTAAAATCAATAAGTGTAACCTCAGGTGAGGATTAAGAAAATAAATAAGAGATCAACCGAAGGACTTGTATGCATGCATATAAGCATAACCAATGGACATAAGACACTGGGGGGTAGGGGAAGTCAGGGGATTGTCAAGGCGGGGGAAAAAAGGACACATATGTAATACCCTTTGTAATACTTTAAGCAATAAAAAAATTTAAAAAAATCTATCTATCTATCTATCTATCTATCTATCTATCTATCTATCTATCTATTTATATTGATTTCGGAGAGGAAGGGAGAGGGGGAGAGAGATAGAAACATCAATGATGATAGAGAAGCATTCATTGCTCTGCCGTCTCCTGCCCGCCCCCTCCTGGGGATGTAGCCCGAATCCCGGGCCTGTGCCGTGACCGGGAACCTAACCGTGACCTCCTGCATCACAGGCCGATGCTCACCCACCGAGCCACGCGGGCCGGGCAGGGGCACGGACTCTTCAGAGGAGGGGTGATCTGTCTTTATACAAATCATAACCCTCATCTTATCTTTCCCCCCGGAAATGGAGGACGGCCTAACCTCAATTCTGCCACTGGCCCTGTCCCCCCACAGCAAGGGCAGGGACCACATTTAGCGAAGACGCTTCCGCGGGTCCCCATTCGCATCTGTGGCCATGAGGCCGCGGTGCATGGGGCTCTGCACGGGTTTCTGCTGCTGCTTCTGGAAAGGGGGTCCCAGAGCCAGCCCTCCAGAGGGGGTGGCTTTGTGCTCAGTGGGCTCCTTGCGGGTGTCGTGCTGGGGTGCGCTGATGTGGGTTATTCCACTCGCCTGGTGACATCCCTGCTTGTGGATGGCGCTGATGGGGACAGGGACCGTGAGCCAGTCTGAGCCAGTCGTAGCGGCTCGTGTCCCCACAGGGGCAGGTGGAAGCTCCGCACGGAGGGAAATGGGTGCCAGCCACAGCGGCCCGAGGCGCCCGCCAGCAACACCGGTGCTGGTTCTTGCTCTGGGTCCTGCTCTGGCATCACCTGACCCCACTGATTCCCGTCTTACAAATGAGGAAACAGCTGCGGTGGCTCAGTGGTTGAGCGTCGACCTATGAACCAGGAGGTCACGGTTTGATTCTGGTCAAGGGCACATGCCCAGGTTGTGGGCTTGATCCCCAGTAGAGGGCGTGCAGGAGGCAGTAGATCCATGATTCTCTCTCATCATTGATGTTTCTATCTCTCTCTCCCTCTCCCTTCCTCTCTGAAATCAATAAAAATATGTTAACAAACAAACAAAACAAAACAAATGTGAGGAAACTGAGGTTGCAATGGACAGGGGTGCACAGAGTGGGCGAGCTGGCACTCGGCACCTCCCTGCCGGCCCCACAGGCGGGGGTCTTCACTTTGCCGCTATTTGCCTGCAGAATCACCCACTGAGTTATCTGGGGGGGGGGCACTTTGGTAAATCATTCAACAAAACGCAGATCCAGACTCCCTGGGTCCTTAAACGTCCCCCCAAAGAGAGACTCATTGCCCAAATGACACTTTTTGTCTCCAAAACAATTCTTAGATCCTTGGCTCCTTGCAGCTGCCAGGCCAAGGCTATGCAGGGTCTTCCACCTCCCGTCGTCTTCCAGGGACACCCCCTCCTCCCAGAAAGCGGGCCGGAGAGACGGGCCCAGAGCGACATCCCACTTCACCCTCCGCTGCCTTTAGGAGGACGGCAGGTTTCACTTCCCCACAGGCCACACACTGTCTCGCACCCCACATGGCCTTCCAGAGCCTCGCCGTTCCTGCATCCGGGGTAGGGTCTGTGTCCCCTTCTCCGGAACCGGAGTGGGCCTTGGTGACAGCCTCGGTGGACAGAGCGGACGTGAAAAATGCCACCCACTTCTGTGCTGCTCTCCCGGGACGCTGGCTCTGAGAAGCCAGCCGCCAGGCTGTGAGGAAGGTCAAGCAGCCGGAGGAAAGGCCCGCGTGGAGAGGACGTGAGGCCTCAAGCCCGCAGCGCCAGCTGAGCTCGGGGAAGGCAGCCTGTGGGGTGGGCCGTCCTGCAAGCGGAATCGGGTGCCGTCCAGCAGGCACCATGCGGAGCCTTCTCCATGGTGTGGATTTGTGAGCAAGAGAAAGAATTTGTTAAAAATATATTTTATTGATTTTTTTTACAGAGAGGAAGGGAGAGGGATAGGGAGTTAGAAACATCGATGAGAGAGAAACATCGATCAGCTGCCTCCTGACACCCCCCACTGGGGATGTGCCTGCAACCAAGGTACACGCCCTTGGCCGGAATCGAACCTGGGACCCTTCAGTCCGCAGGCTGACGCTCTATCCACTGAGCCAAACCAGTTAGGGAGAGAAATAATTTTTTAAAAATATTTTTTTATTGATTTCAGAGAGGAAGGGAGAGGGAGAGAGAGATAGAAACAACCATGATGAGAGAGAATCATGGATTGGCTGCCTCCTGCCCCCCCCCCCCCCACTGGGGATCGAGCCCACAACCTGGGCATGTGCCCTTGACTGGAATCGAACCTGGGACCTTTCAGTTCGCAGGCCGATGCTCTATCCACTGAGCCAAACCGGCTAGGGCAGAAACAATTGTTTTAAGCTCCCAGGTTTTGGGGGTGATTTGTTATGCCACAAGAGATCACTGGAACAAAAAAGAAGCAGCGAATTGGCTGTTATCTGGGCCCAGAAAGCACGTTCTGTACAGAATCAGGCCCACACTCGCATCCAAAGCTTGTCTTTTGTCCTGAGCAGTGTGCTGGAGAAGAGCGAAGCTTGGAGCCAGGCAGGTGAGAGTACATAAGCTGGTCCCAGGACTTGCCAACTGTGTGGCCTCAGGGAATTTCACGGGCTCTCTGAGCCACAGTCTCTTCCGCTGTGAAAGAGGCACCAGAATAAGATTTCTCTAGGAAAACCTAGTGAGCTTATACATCTAAAGTGCTTACCCAAGAACATAACACATAACAAGAGCTCAGATTCACCAGGACTTTGGTGAGCCTCTGGCTGACAAACCCAACTGGTACTGGATAGTCTCTGATTTATTTATTTTTAAATATGTTTTTATTGATTTCAGAGAGGAAGGGAGAGGGAGAGAGCGAGAGAGAGAAACATCAATGATGAGAGAGAATCATTGATTGGCTGCCTCTTGCACGCCTCCTACTGGGGATCGAGCCTG